TATTTAATATATTTAATATTTATTTTAACTAATATTTCATATATTTTTAGAATACTAAGAATAAATAAAAATAAGAAAACAAAGTATTAAGAAGTATTCTCAAATGAAACTTTAGAGTACTAACCTAATAAAAAATTATCAATTTTTTTATCCTATTATTAAAATAAGAAAATTTTTCTTTTTTTTTAAATACACTGTTGGATTATTCATGTCAATTTATTTTCATGTCTACTTTTTTTCCCTACCATTCATTATATGGTAATTGTTTTGTGAAGTTTTTATCGAACTGATAATTTCTTTTAGAATATAAAAGTATAATAATTTTGTGATCATACCTGGAGGTAGTTGCAGCATGGTTAGTTTTGGTTTTATCTTTTTGACTACCATTGTTTATGCTGTCTACATCCATATTCCAGGCATGATATATTTGTTTGTTGTCTTGTTGCTTAATTCATCTTGTTTCCCTTAATTGAATTCTGTCAATTATCGAATAGTAGTTGTAGAAATTAGAAAGCCTTTTCTAAATTGGATGTGGTAACCAGTGATTTGTCCCTCATATAAATTAAATTACACACGCCTATGAAATACTTAAAAGATCAAGCGTTCTGAAATTTTAATTTAACTTTGATAAACTTTCTTTTTCTCTCTTTTTTAAATTGATAAGCCTGCTGGTTTGAGATGGGTAAAGAGAATGCAAGGGGCAGGAGAGAAGGGAACTAGAAAAAGAATTGTTCTGTTTCTTCATGTGGGCCGGGCCAGAAACTCTTGACCTAAAAGCTTAAGTAATTAATTGGGTTTGTGAGTCCTCCAAGTTTATACCATCCTTACTTCCAATGCTACAAAACGCGCAAACCATTGCCTAGTGCTTTAGTGCTCTAGACATTTTTTTTTTTTTTCAAAAAATGTCAAAATTAATTAAAAAATAAGACAAACACCTAGTTTTACAACTTAACGCCAAGGCAAAGCGGCTGAAAACCGGCTAATCAAATTTTTTGCAACAATGCTTTCTTCGTGTCTTGCTAATGCAAGAGTATTGAAACAAATTATGCTAATCGTGAGTCAATAATTAGCTCCCTTTCAAAAGCAACATCATCTAATATTCTCCTGCGGGCACAACTTTTTTAAGTTGTGAGGTGTAGTCCATTTACCTAAAGAGAATCCTACATGCATCAAAAAAAAAAAAA